GATGGCACTACTCCTTAAAAACTATTCTAATCATTGGGTTTAGAAGACTTTGAGCAAAAGAAAACATCGGAACCCCTTAAAACTCTTTACTGCTGCCCATCACCAACACATAATGATTATATAACAGGAATGTATCACGATATCAAACATAAATGGGGAGGCTAATGCAGAAAGATATTCACATTGTCCAAAATAACTGTGTCAACAGCACATGCTAAATGAAAAACTAAGACTCCTTCTACTCTTTCAACTAGCAATCATAGCACCTTTAATAAAAACCCCGATGTACTACCGCTAAGAAGCATTAGCAAGCTGCTCACTTCCCGAGGCTTCTGTCAAATGTCCTCATTTATTGCACAGGGACCTTCGTCTACCCAAGGCACTGTTGTGAATATCATCTCAAAAGTGTTGTGCATAAGTTTCAGGCACTGCAGAGAGAGCATCAAGAACATCACAACGTCTGCTGAATGCTTGCCTAATTAATGAGTTAGAGTCTACTGTATCCTCAGCACTGCTGGCTTATTAGAAGTCATGAGGGGACCAGGAGGGCACTAAGGACGTTTAGCCTACACTTTAGAAGATCAGGTCACAAATCAATTACTCTAGATTAATTTTATCCTATTAAACAAGACCTCTTCACAATTTCAATTCGTTTAATTTGTAGGATATTAAGAATTTTAGCACCAGAATTAATTGCGTTGAATAAACCAGCAAAATGTAATTTTCCTGATATGCTGATTTGAAAGAGGGAAAGGAAATAAGAGTTGTGGTAAACATAACATGATGCATCTTCAGAGTATGGCCAGAAATTGACAGAGATCCTGTTGAGATCCTGTAAAATTCCATTATCTACAGTATGCAAGAATGAGATTTTTCTACCGTAAAATATGCAGTCTGTTAGGCAACGCTGCAGCAAAAAACAGGTCCTGAAAACGTTATGTAATTTAATTCAAAATGAAGAACTTTGTTTAAAAAAAAACACAAAAAACCAATCCAAACACTCTCTGATTTACATTACACATCAAGGATTTTTAGGTTCCACGTTCTGAAGTTCCATTTACCCTCCTTTTCATTCCGTTCAACTGATCACAGTAAGTAGATTGTATTTTTAAAGAAAACCATTTTTCTCGTTAAGGCAGTTTCAAGTAGGTCTCTGGCAGTGTCATTAAAGAATGTTTAAAGTAATTTTGAATGCATACCTGGTCCCCGAAAGTTTACCCATTAAAATGAAGAATTTGTTTTCTTTGAGCAACTGATGGCAACACTGAACACGTCCACAATTATTTGTTATAGCAGCGTGGAAGTGCTTCTAAGGAGTGGTTCTGGAGTATTCCCAGATACTGTAATCGGCTGCTTCAAAGCCAGGGCACCTCCCCACATAGCTCTATGTACAGCAAAAGACAGTTTTTACTAATCTGCCTGGTTTAACCGTGATGAGACTTGGTTCTTTCTGGCAAGAAAAGAGTATTTTGCCTTCCATTAACGAAAAGACTGCTAGAAGGGAATTCATTAAGTAGTCTATCATTTTATTGCTCATGAAAATAATTCTGTAGTCTTCTGTATGTATTAAAAAATAAGCAGTTGTTAGGATACGTAAATATTGTATTACTACTTTATATATGCTCTTCGAATGGGATCGTAGAAGATAATAGTCTCACTTGGCTCTAAATAGCTACCATTCTTTAAGGAAAAGTTTTCTTAACTTTCCCACTTTAAGAAAATAACAATGACTAAGAGAATACTTAAATACATCCATTATAGAGAAACTCTCTTCGTATCAAGTCAGGAACACTTGGGAGCTATCAATAGCATGTTGGCCAACTGACATTAGTTTAGTGACAAACTAAAAAAACCCCTTAATTATTTAGCCATGGAAATTTTACAAAAATGCAATGTAGTTATTCAATTTAAGAAGGAAAGGGTGTCCCTGTGACACAGATCCTGTGCCTTGCAGTGTTATATGCAGAGGTACGAGGTACAAAGCTGTGATAATTGTTACCAAGTTCCCTCTAAACCAGGAGCCTGTAGTACATCAAAAGGTCTGAAAAGTAGGGATTAGAAGATAGATCAAAAGACTAGGCATCAACAACTTAAATGATGCAGTTACTGCATTCCAAGAACAGTTATCCAAGTGCATCACAGGGAATTTCAATGCAAGTTTAGTAAAGCAGCACCTACAAGTTGGAGAACACCTTGGCAATAAAAAGGAAATAGTAGCCCAGTAGAAATGAACATACACAGTAAAGCCACGAGCTGAATCATTCCAACAGCTGCAGCATTCTATCAGACTTGACATGTTCCCTCTGGATCAGAAACTTGTGTGTGATCCTCTGTGACAAAATGTCCATCATAACAGACCCCCAGTGAGAGGATTTGGTCTGTGACAGATTCCAAAGAACTATATGTACTTAGTCGTGCAAAGCCCGTTTAAATATTGTGACAGGTTTCTGACAGCTCCGAAGAGCTGGGGACTAGAGGGAGACAGAACCAGGGAGCTTAACCATTTCTGCAGTCTGACTGTTCCTACAGCAATAATGTAGACTGCACAATATTGCAACTGTTTTGTTATACGGCATCTCAATAAGGGCTTTGCAGAATTTCACCAGTGCCCTGTGCAATTTGGTTATCGGCTACTGGCCAGCTGCATTTTTTTCAGCACAGTCCCCGACTGCCTCACCTTTCTCTTTGATGATCCTGGCTGCTTTACTAAAGAGATACCACAGGCTGTTCTTCGAAGACTGAAAAGATACCTGTAGACTGTGATTGTCCCAGGATGAAGAATTTTATCCCTGTGTATCAGGCTGGCACAGTGTTGAGAAAAGGGACGTGTTTCTGGGAGGGCATGTGCCCAAGGAACAAGCCTAAGCAGTAAAGACCAGATGTGCTGGACCAAATCCCTTGGAAACTGGTTCAGAATGAGCGGATTGGGTGTTTACTAGGTTTTTCAGCAAGTCAGGCATGTTTTAAAGGAAGGGTGGGAGGACTGCAACTTCTCTAATCTCTGTAAACAGACATAGGGCACGTTCTACCTGTCAGTTCATACTGGTTTAGCCATGTATACACAGAACATAGCACGACCGTAGCACAATCCTGATTGTGTGTCCTTGCGGAATTGCACCTAAAGGAATTGACAGTCAGGTTTTAAAAAGCATATGACCACAGTTTTGGGTTCCTTTTCTCTAACACTTAATAAAATGTTGTTGGTGTTTGCCTTAAGAAGCATTGCCAAAATGTATGATTTTGGGGGAAAAAAACCAAACAGCTTTTTTCTTCTTTTAAACTCTCAGTATTATATTTCAGTCACATTTACCAAGCATGTCTGTTCCACCTTTATCCTGCACTATTCTTAGGCTGTGAAAATTACTGCAATATCTTAGACGTTCAAACAGACCTGACAGATCTCAGAAATTCCGCATCTGGCATTTCAGGCAAGACAGCTAGCTGCCTGAAAGCTTCACTAGCCACTAAACCTAAGAAAGAGCTGCAAGAAAGTACTTTTCTCAGCCAAGTCTTTATAAAGCTTTTCTTATACTTCTTGCACTCATCTGTTATGACAGCACACTTTTATCTGCCCATTGTTACTTGCCAGACTCGGTCTTTGCCAGACACTGTCTTTGAAGGGCTACAGTTTTTGCCCGTGACTTTTTTGCTCTTTAGTAGCTTATTACAACTTACTTTCAGTTAGCCTTTATATGGTTATTTCAAGGACACTCTGTAGGGTAATGCAAGTCTACTAAACAGTTACAGCCATCTGATCGGGCTACTGAAAACAGGACTGGCCCCAGGAGAGGCACGTTCTGCACCAACTCATTCCAAGCAGAATTTGGTAAGAGATAGCAGCAAGTCTCATTTCAGTTGCTTTTTTTTCAAACTATCTGGATTTTCAATTACTCCATCCCTTTTTTTTTTCATTCAGTCCAACTGCTAAAATACTTCCTATGTTCCATTTTACCTTGTCCAAGAACATTCAGCTTGTCCTCACTAAACATGTGATCCAAACCCCATGTCTTGTATGAGGGGTATCCAGACTGACAGCCGACAGCTCTGTTAGCTCATTTATTATTTATTGAATATTAACAACAAACTCATGGGCCAAAGAAATTCAAGAGTCCCTCTATACTTACAAGATACTTCTGTAAGTTTAGGACCTTTTAAGCAGCTCCGCAAAAACTAATTTATAAACTTATACATATGTGAAGCTACAGCATACTACATTCTGTACTAAAGAAAAAAAGAAAAGAAAAAAAGTCTTTGTTATTTTAATACTGCAGCATCTTCCAGTGGTTTGTAAATAGGTTTCTAATATATTTGTCAGCCAATTCCTACTTGTTACCATCACTGAACACGCTTGATCCACTTTCCAGCCCAGGCCTTCTATGTCACAAGTATCAAACCAACTCCTTCAGAGAGCATGATTCTTTTAACCTCTTTGGCATCGCTGTGAAATCCTTACAGCTGAGTACCTGGTCATGCTTAAGTAAGTATAGGCTGTAAGTACATTTTGTCGCCATGAATGTAAGTTACATGCCAGATCATATTACACAACATGGAAAAAACCCCAACCATACTCTCTGATAAACCAAATTATCAAAACCAAATTACTAATAGGTCATTGGCAAGAAACTAGCTGGATCATACAGCAAATTGTACAGGAAGTTACATTTTAATCTGTTTCTTAACAGTGTGTCTTCTCTGTTTCTTAGGTAGGAAAATCATGAAAATAACAAACCACTTATCCTTCCACATCAGCAGCACTTGGTCTTGCTTCTTAATATAAATTTTTAGAACCACAGAAGAAACACTGTTCCTCAGTATGAAATAATGCATTTAGTACTATCCTGATAAAGACAGAGGGAAAGCAGTACATGAGAACTTCCGTGAGTAAAATAAAATTGCCAGTTTCTTTTCTGTGGGAGAGGACAGGAAGCTGAGAAATGAAACAGAGTTAATGCTGATACCAACAGGAATGGAGAAACATTCTTTACACGTGAGAAACTTACCAGCACAGTTCGCCCTTGGGAAATGAAGAAATGGCCAGATACAACAATGGTAAGGATAAGAAAGCCTGATTCCTCACTTGATTCAAAGACCTGACAAAACAAAAACCAGTCACTGACAAACCCCAATAATTTAGTCTCGTAAGTACAGAATCTACATTTTCCATTTCTACTGCGAAATACAAGGTTTCAAAGGTTGGTGCTAGAAGTCAGGTGTATAACTTCCCTCTCAGTAATGCATCTGGCTCTCCACTCCCACAGACAGGAGGTACATTTCAGATTTTTGAAGTAATTATAACCCTGTTTCAACAACCTGATGGGCACTTCCAACTTGATCCCTGTTTTTTAACACCACAGCTCACCAATGAAGGAAGGAATAGATAAAACTCAGGCCACTAACTATCCTATGACTGAGGAACCAAAACCTCTCCTGACTCCTGCCTCAGCTCTGGGCTTGCAGAAAGATCCCCGCAGAGCCTCACTTACCTCACAGCAGCCCCCTCGACCCCGATGGAGACAGTTCGAGCCTCCCCCCAGCCCCCTTTGCACCACATCACCTTCCAGGAGGAGGTGTTTTGCCTTTCCTCGTCGCCCTCTCTCGGGGGTAGGAAGCGGCCGTAGCGCTT